GAGCCAGGGTGGTCAAGCAACGGGGCCCATCCACATCAATGTGGTATTAGGCCCCGCGGGTGAGGACCCCACGGTTGAAAGACCGTGGTGGTCCGCCCCGAACCGTAGAAACGGGTTGCCTCTGACCCCGAGAGAACGAGGCCTCCCACGGGGCACCCTTTCCCGCGCTCAGTGGGAGGGGTGCAACGTATGCCACTACCCCGGGGTGACCCGCACGGACCGTTGCCCCCGCGTGCGACAACACGCCGACCTGGTCCAAGAGAGGCTGGGGTGGGAGGCGCGCGGCCGTCCCCCACTAGATGACCAGGGCGAGGAGCTACCCGGGAGACCAGCCAGGTGATCTTCCCCTGCCCCCGTGGGCAGGGACACCGTCATGTTACCCGGCAAATAAATAGTGAATTGACATCACATGGACTATAACCCTTTATTATCCTTCCTCTTCTCCTCCTCGGAAGGGACAGCGCTAATGGAATTATCGTCGAGGACCCTGTAGGCTCAGACTGGAAGGGGGCTGTGACGGTAAACGTCAAATTAGCGCTGATAATATAACTTAATTGTTGCCTGTGAGAGCAGCACCTGCCGGGGGGACGAAATTCGTAACGAAGGAATTCGGCACGCGAGCAGACGGAACGCGCGCGATTGAAACCGAACTAGTGAAGCTTCGACTATCGTTGAATCAACCCGCTTTCGCTATCTCTATCGCCAATCTACGAGCCATCAACATCAACACGCTAGAGCAGCAACAGCCAGTCGTCCGTGATCGTAGCCGCCCAGGTGCCATCCAGCTACTAGTTCGAGGCCAGGACGAGAGTGTGTGTGAGGTTTCGCCATCGAGGGCGAAACCATATCCGTGCGCGCGTGTTCGCGACCGGCGACAAATAATTAAAAACTGTTCCGCGCTGTACGGTTTGTCTGTGCTTCCTTCGATCGCCTGCAATAATAAGGTAAGCTGGCCAGCTTAATTTCGCGATCGCGGTTGCATGATTAATTATTAATTTCCGACATTCGAAGCGTGCATGCGGCGACTCTAATAACAAATAGCAGCGAACGTCCCGGCAAAACGTGTTGTCGATGAGCGAGCGTCAATGTAAACAAACGCGCGGGCCGACTTTGTGTAGTATTTGAATGGTAATAAAAGGCTCCGTCCGTGTTATTAACAAGTATTTTTTGACTCGCTCTTTTCATATAGCTTCCACTCACTTTTCCCAGATTAGAGGACTTACTGGTTGACTGACGCACGTTTCCACATGCTCTCCGATTTATGTATTGAGCATAAATAATTACGCGCGTCCTTTTAGTATAACTGCGCGAATAAAATAATTAAACGGTTTTACCCCGTTACAATATATATATATATATATATATATCAATTTTTAATATGTATTGTTTTAATTAATTTTTTCTATATAATTTTTTTACAGGTCTGATGATGATGACGTGGAGATGGTGTTCAAGGTTCTCGTCACGCATCCACCACCACGACGCGTGACACACGTTGACCTGGTGATGCCTCTAGTACCCTTTGTAGATCTCACGACATCTCAACCGCTCTTGGTAAATTTAGTTTCACCATAGCAGCAAGAGCTAAAATAAATAAAATAAAATAAATGCGAGAAACATCGCACCAGTGAGGAAAGGTATAAATTTTTTATTCATTACAAACAATACTCTTTTTTTTCTAATCAGTATGGTTTCTTTTGGTTCTTTGTTGCAAGTCAACAATCATAACGAAACCATACCTGACTGCGAAGTCTGGGACTGCGCATACTGCGCTGCTGGTCGTTGCAGTCGGCAGCCGCAACGGGTGAGTCAGCTCCACACTGTGAGATCCAATATACACAATAAGAATTGTCTATGTTACTAGTGGTAGTGGCTCTAGCGGTAAAACATCGGCCTGCGGATCCAGAGGACGCAGGTTCGATCCCCCGACCTGTCCGTTCTTTTTTTTCAATAAAATTTACTTTATACATCTAAAAATTTAACACACACACACATACATACAATAAACGGAAAGCGTGGAACACAGAACGCACGGGCATCAGCTTAATAAGGGCGGGGAGAAGGTGAGTCGACAGTGCCGAAGTTAAAATGCACGGGCATCAGCTCAGGAAGGATATCAGCTCACTGAGCTGATACCCCCCCCCCCCCTGAGTTAAGGGCTCTCTAGTTTACCTACTCATAAGCATTCAAATGAGAAAACTTCAGAGGCTGACTCAGATATAATTATTTTATATTTCCTAAAAACTTCTACTCCAGTACAATCCTTGGTTAATAGTTCAAATGACTCTAATTTACACTATTGTAGTTTTGTGCTTTAAAAATATTGTATTTTAACCGGGTTCCATGCACAATATGAAATTATATAAATAGTGGCAGTAGGTTAAGATATTTAAAACACAAACAAAAATAACATATTTTTATAAAAATCCATCATCCAAAGCAAATTAGCTTATATGATTATTTTAAGCATCAAGTTGAACATTGATACAAAATCTCCGTCATTACAGAAAAACTTCTTGTACTTGACTTTTGAAAGAGTGTATAAATTATAACTTATTTAAGAAATATAATCAACAATTTCACTGTAAAATAAATTGAAAGGTAAAAAAATTACATGAACTGTGAAGTTCCAATAAAAATTGTTTAAAAAATGCATACACTGCATAATTATATCGTATTACCACGAAATTGAAACTCATTGATAATATCGTAAGAATAAAATCCTATTATTATTATTAACGTAACGTTTATATTCTTTTAATTTATGTTCAATAACTACTTCCAACTATGTCGTCCAAAAAAATTTATAACTTATTTAAGATTTGAGAACTATCTCTTTTTTTAATTAAAAAAACATCAACATCAATAATCCACTCAAGGCCTGTAATGGCTTGGTCGGTAGGGCAACGGACTCGCACCCGGTACGCTCGGGTTCTATTTCCAGTCCCTGTTGATTGATACAAGTACCACTAAAAAAAGTTTCATGTGCTTTTTTCAAATACATTGCAATTCTTTGTCGCTGATTAGCACTGATAGAGCATAAATAGATCGACGTTAAAACTAAATAAAAAAAATAAATATGTAACCCACTCGTGGGTGTAGAACATACATGCTCATCAAATAATGGTGATATCGAATATATCGGCGCAAACAAACTTAACATGAGATCCACATTGAAAAGTAATCTTTTTGAAATTTTTAAAAACAGAAGATTTATGTTACGAACCACTTCATTTATTCCCTCATCACTTACGCGTTGTGTGCTTATTAATAGATTCTATAGCCTAAGGCTTTTTCACGGAAAATTTTTGAGTAGCAATATATGAATTCTAAGAGTAATAACCAATGAAAATTACCGATAACGGTGGCACTCCCAGAGCAATGACCATTGAGAATTTATGATCACCGATCACCAATATAGTGGCACTCTAAAATCTAGCTCCTTTTGATATTTGTATAAATAAAATTGCAGAGCTAATTTATGAAACATTTTGTTAACAAAGTGTTATATTTTTAAGTAATATATTGAGGATAAATTCAAAAAAATAAAAAAACGTTTGTACTTGGGGTATCAGAGTTATTTCTAACCGGAGAAAATAAAACATAACTTCCAAATATTTTTTATAGTTTTCTTCAGTTTTATAAAAAAAAAAGATTATGCTAAAATTTGACTCACATATGCTAGAAAATATGTTTGAATCACATATGCTAGAAAATATGTTTTGTTTTTTTGTCATTCAAAAATTAAACCCTTGCCAGGTTTAAAAACATATAATGAGATGTTGCAATTATTTTAGTGATCCATTGATTTTGTTTTACAAACTATATAAAGTTTCATATTTCGTATATAACATCATAATTTCTCTAAAAATCTTGTCAAAAATTCATAAAAACCAGCTAAGAAATCGAATTTTTAACGTTTATTTATTTTTTGTTCTTAATCATCCCGGGACTATACAATCTGACTTAGACAGATCTAGTTATCTGAAAAATATGATATATTTTTATCTCATGTATCATTTATAATTTATGGAATGATTTTTATTTAATTTTAAGATTTCCAATTGTTAAAAAAGAGTATTACAATAAAGTCAAAGTTATACGTTTGTTTGTATTTTTCATACACCTTAATGAATGCAAAAACTTTTGAAACAAAAGCGTGCAATTAATTTGAAAAACTTATAAAACTCCGCTAAATGAATGAATTTTTTGTTTGGAATAGATATAGTTTAAACAATAATATTATTGATCAAAATATTTTAAATAATTTGTTTATATAATCATGGTTTGGTAACAGTTCTGTATTTTTACGGAAAAACTATTTTAGTATATGATAACTTTAGAATTATTTTCATACGTGATCGACGTATTTTGCAACAACGACAATCTCATGTCTATAGTCCAACTATATGTTTCTTATACAAATCATTTGATGTTAGAGAAGGTAATCAATACAACTATCTATAATATTACAACATGTGGATAATCAGTTTGATATGGGATAAAAAGTGAGATATTAACTATTTAAAAAACATTCGATTAATCAACCACTCGATTATTGATTGATTTTTAAATAATAATCAAAGGACTCATCGTGAAATTTACTGTATAATTTTCTGTAAAAACGTATATAAAAAAATTTAAATTCAGTAAAAATGTTGATAATGATTTATTGTAAGCAATACACTTGGAATAACCTTCATACAAAACCATTTATGATTAGAATTCAATAAACGAACGTTATTGAAAAACCATTTTTGCTGATTTCGTTTTGTAATTCATAAAATAAATCTAATTTGTTAGGTCATCAGACAATGAAAATAAGTATATGATATCAAGTTTTTTCATTATTGTTTTGTATTTGGAAATCTAATATTTTTTATTTCAGAATGACGACGATGCAAAATGACGAAGCTGTTGAATCGATCGAAGCTTGGACATTGACGTTGACGGCGTCGGGTGGGGCAAGAGGGCGCTTATGTCTTTCGTTTATATAGTGACTGGGCAGAAAGCTCTTGTCAAAAGTTGCTGAGTTTATTCTTTTAATTCTTATCGTCTACATAGTTTCAATTTGATTTCAATATCTGAACAGAATGTAACACTGATTGTGATTAAAATGAAATCAAGTATGAAATATCTAATGATATTACTCTATCCATGAAATATGTCCCTTGTTTCTCACCTAAAGAAAAGGTAATTATATATCGTTAAATTAAAAATATTATATTATTTTAAAATAATTTATGCTATTATTTATTATTATTAGATTATTTCAGTTAACTACTCAGGACTTTATCTCTTATAATATACATTTATCATGATAAAAAAAGGTAGAGAAGAACCTATTCTCCGGTCAGTAAAATAATTATTACATATACTTCCATGATATTAATTGTAATTGTACATTATATAGTTGATTAGAATAGCAGTTTTTAAATGTAAAGCTATAGTATTCCACTTTAATAATAAAATATCAAGTTCGTATTCTAGAACCAGAGATATAAAAATGGTTCCTCTTCATTCTCGATGAAATCTATGTATAATATTTTAAATATTTTTGGTATACTATACAGATTCAATCAAATGAATGATAGCCGCGTCAAAAGAAAAGTCTAAGGCAGAAGTCTGTAGCGATATAAAACATTTTTTCCATTCATATTTTCTATTAATATAACGCATTCACTAATCGTGTTTTTATGTCATATGAAAGAGCAGCATTTCCTTTTCGTTTCCTTACATGTCCGTTAAGATTGGTATCTCATAATGAATTGTTTCTCAATTACTTTTTCATTAAATGTATCTTATACTACTTTACGTTACATAAACTCACCTTTATACATGTCTTAAACAGGACATCTTTAGAACGTATTAAGGAACGTATTAAAATTCTAGAAAAGGCTAGATTCAAGAATTATCTTGAATCAACATATTTAAAATGATTAAATAGATTTTTATTAGTAAATTATTCTTATTATGATATAAATAGTTTTTTTTTAACATTTTCATTAATGTTACAATATCCGCTCAAATCGCTCATTTAATATCAATTTACACTAAAAAAATTGTTTGCACATCATAGATAGTGGAATGATAGTCAGCAATAGTATGCTTTAGTTGATTCATTTATATCCTGAACAGCTAAGAATCTAATTTGATAAATTCCTCGATAATATTTTTACCACTTAAAATAAATATGAAGATTCAATTTGGTGTAAGGATGGAAACGTATGTAAATAAAACATGTTATTCAAGTTTTACGCTATGGTCCTTTTGTTTCTACCAACGATATTTTTTAGGAAACAGGTATTCTAGTAATTTAATCTAGTCAATCTAGTAATAATCGAAAAATGTATTTTTTCATATTTAATAGTTTTGAAAAGACCATTTAAATAAATAATTTGTATGCTTATATTTTGGCAAGTATTTGATAAGATTTCATGAATATGCCTAATCTTGAAAATTTGTGTATATAAGCTTACATTGTTTCTCTGATAATGTTTTAAATATTAGAGATATCTGTATTATAATAGCCCAATAACTCAGAATAACTTGGTTTCTAAACAAATTTTTGTATACGCTGAATGTATTGTACATTGTTTAGGTGCAGAGAGAATCCGGATTTTCCGTAGATTTCCTCGGTTTTATTTCTTTATGGATGATTTTACTTATTGACATTAAATCACTTCAAAATAATATTTATGTCACGTAAGTTTATGAAATTTTATAATGTTTGATATGAGATTATATACTTGTAAAAAAAATTACAAAGGTATAAAGTATGTAAGTCATTTTTTCAGCTTTAAAAACACCAAAATGTTTATGTTAATTTAACGTAAATTTGAGTGTATAATCAACGTAAAATCACTAAGGAATTCATTTTAAATCAACATTCATTTTTTCTGAAAATGTAATGTTAAATCAACAAAACTTACCTTTGAGAATAATAAACTAGTCAAGCACACCTTATGCTTCCATTTCATTTGTTAATATAAATGTCTTATTTATATATCAAAACTAATAAATTCGTTTTTTTAGTTTGTAACATTGATTCTTTTAAGAATATGAAAAAAGACTTCTCATAAAGTAAAAAGTTGAATAAATGCTTTTATAACTTCATCACTATTTTTGTTATTCTTCATATTTAATTTTTGATCTGTAGTAAAATTTATGTGAACATGACACAAATTCCATAAATTAATTTCAGCTTCATTAAAGCTGAAGAGAAAACAAAACTTTCTGTCTTCTATTAATAAAAAAGACATTAATTTTATTTTATACTTATTATCTTTTTCAGATCCCGATTCCTTCTGGTATGTTGGAAAAACGTATATTTTATTCAAATGTGATATGGATATTATTAATAAGTTTTAAATGTTTGGCATAAATTTCAAAAATTTATAATAAACTTTATCAATTCCGTCATTTGATACATAATAGTAATTAATGACGTTTTCAAAATTAAAAAAATTTTGAATATACCGAAATCTTAGGAAAACACAACTCGAAAGCTTAAAATTATTTTCATATACTTTAGAAGATTGAATAAGAAAATTAAATTTCGCTCAATAATAATCAACGTTTTAAACTCTTTAAACTTTCGATTTTAAACTATTGAAAGTGTTAAAATCTATTTAAAAATGGTAAAAATGCTGTTGATAAGTTTCACAAACATTACACATACATTTGAGAGATTTATATTGCATAAAAATTACAATCTTTGATAAATGAAATATACTCGTCGTCGTCGTATTTATTTCTAAATAAAAATTTCCAATACTTTATAATTTTTGGTAATTTTTATTATTTACGGGTCTAATATTCAAAATAAGAAGATTTACAGTAAGTTTGTTGATCTAGCTAAATTGTAAGTGACCAATATTGAATGTGAATGCCGTACTTCTACAATCTAATAAAAATATGTAATCCTTTTTTATAATTTGTTCCATTAACTTCTACAATTAGTTATACGTTTACTATATCCAAATTATTTATGTAAACGTGCATTTGATTTTATTTTCATTGTTTGTAATTGATACTGTTGGCGAACAGACTCAGCTAAAAAGTTTGAAAAATGAAAAACAATTTGAATAAAATACTATATTTAGTATATTATAACATTATAAATAGTATATTTAATCTAAAATATAAGGTACTGAGGAAGATGCGAATATACTTGTAAAATGCGATCATGCCTTAAATTTGCCAAAAAAGTTTAAGAACAACATATATTTGCAATATATAAATACAACTGAAATATCGCTGATAATCCTATCTCTTATAAATAAAAAAAGGTGGAGGTGATGAAATTTCTGCACTAATATTGACGACTTTAGACAGGTAAATAAATTTGTCATTAGAGTTCATATTCAATTCGTGCATTTTCAAGGCATCATGGCCCTCACCTTTGAAAAATGCTGTAATATAACCAACACAAAACAAGTGACGAATCATTAAATCATTACGAATGAACTATAAGTCTGCATATTTTTAATTGAAACATGGCACAAATTTCGAAAAAATAATATACGCGAGATAACATAATTTTCTATCGAAATATGAAATAGTTAAAATACTATCTAATAGAAAGTTTTATTTAATAAAAACAAGTAGGAACGAAGAATGCTCAATCTTATATAGTTGGTTAAATAATTAAAGTAGTGAAGGAAAATCAAAAAGTCGTTTATTGTTTTCGTAGACTTGGCAAAGGTTTTTGAGACAATTGCCCATGAAATTTTATTGAAAAATTTGGTACGATATCGAATAAAAGGTTCAGCCCAAGTTACGTCTTGTTTTTATGTTATTTTTTAAGGGGATAATTTATGAGTCTGCGCGAATAGCGAAGGTTTATGGAATAATGCGGATTTGATAGTACATGGAATAGTATAGTGTTCAAATGCGTGGAAGCAATAAACTTAGCAAAAATGCTATAAATCAAATAAATTAATCACAAAAATATAACATCAGGTAACGAGAGATGTCAACTCTCATTACCTATATATATCGATTTGTTGGATAAAGTCCGTCAGTTGCATTTATTATTTTTCTTCTTTTTTTTTGTTTGGCTGGCTCTGAAGTTCCCTTTATTAGTAACTACGTCTAAGCTTCCTTATTTTCAATGTTATGGATTACGTGTGATTCTTCCTAACATATATGCGACACCGATTGCAGGAATTTGCGATTCTCAACCAATCATACTTAGTACAAGTTCGTCGAGCAATTGGCGGAATAAACGGTAATTATAAAATGAAAATACGTGGAACTCCCGGTTGCACTTGTGTCGTTAAAGATATTTATTTCTCAAAAAAAAAATGACAGAAAGATAGGCTTAGAACTGAACGGTATCTTATTCAACACTTATCGAAAGAGAGTTGTATTACTTAGTCACGATGCTCGAGCTAGACTGATTATCGTTGACAAAAAATGTATCGCAGAAGCGGTAATTTCCCCACCTTGACTGATCGGGAGTTAGGAAAATTTGATATTTGGCAGGTGGAGATAGTGCACTCCGCTCTTGCTGACGTTTGTGCAAGCGAATTCATTTTACGTCTAGCGTGCGCTCGCGAATCAGCTGTGATTTCTGCAGTATTAACCAATTTCGCCTGCCTTTGCCGGTCGACTTCGTAAGAACACATAAGAGCTCTCCTACAGAGTCAGCAACAAAGACATGAATTTACGGTGTCCTTATGTCGACCTTGCCTGTGTAAGCCTTATCGAGATGTAATGGCCAACGATCTGTTCAAATACTATTTGAGGAATGAAAAACAATTTGCGAAATATTAAAGCTGTAAACAAATTTTCGCATTAATTTTACCTGGTATACCGCAGGGTACTGTTCTTGGACTTCTATTGTTTATCATTTTATAAATGATTAACTTCTTTTGTTACTGGGAAAAATATTATGTATATTTTATGCTCCATAAGGTATTATGGAGCTCTGTTGAAAAAATCTTGCTAGATTTTCAGTTTAATTTACTAGTTGCATTTTCGACTGAATTTTCAGTTGAATCAACAGAATTCATAAATAGATTCTGCTAGATTTCTCAGTCGACAATTCAATATGATGCGTATATTAAATGACCGTATATTCACAGACTATTTTAGTTTGTTAAAATTAAAGGCTTATGGTATAATATCTTTTGAAAAATTATGATTTTCTTAATTTTTATAAAAATTTACACATTATTTTTATCTGAATTAAAATTTAAGTAACAATCAAGTAGATACAAAGTATGCAAATTTTTAAATAAAAAACGTTTGTAACGTATAGAAATAATTTATGTATGGTCTTTTATGAGTTCTGAGTATTTCTAACACATATCTAATTCACTTATAACCTATACAGAGCGATCAAA